AGATTTTTTAATGTTATCTTGCTTGTCAAAAAATTCTGAAGTCGGATTTTTTTTTCTTTGGAGTAACCACCTCCCTCTTTTTCCCTAATAATAATTCCAAGAGCTGCCTGCCCATACAATATTTAATTTTCTAACATTAAACGAAAAACAAAAAAGAAAAAGAAAAAAAAAGATTCACTTTTTGTAAAGTCAGACAAACCGCACCTCGTCAGACACCAAGGGCGACGATGTTCTGGTTCCTGACGAGTCCTCACCCTTATCCTCAAGTTTCTGAAATATGAAAAAAAAAAAATCATGTAAACTTATGGGTCTTTCAGTTTTAGTATACGCTGACATTCATAGAAGTAAACAGTTATTTTGAGAAAAGGTAAATATTTAAAAAGAATACTGAAATAAATTCTACAACTGCATTCTTATTTATTTTTCCGAAATTATCTAGGTTTTACTTTTATGTCGGTATAAAGTATATCATTGAGGGAGTAAGCAAGATTCCAGTTCCTTGAGTCAATTTACGAGGTGAATTACATGATAACATGTCTGTTAATATCATTACCAGCTAAAACTGAGCGGAAACCCAATACAATCATTACATATAAAACACTGCATATGTTGTAATTTCTCATTTCTTTTCTGTGTGTGTGTTTCCTTTTATTTGTGATTTGTATTGGGGGGTGGGGTGTTTTAGCACAACAAAATTAAACCCATGCAACAGCTCTGATCCCCCCCCCCACCTTTTTTTTTAGCTCGTACAATGTAAAGATTATAACACCCATCCCGTATATATTCCTACAACCTTCTTGACTGTAAAAACGTAATGTAGAGCTAGGAAAAGTTGACATCGTCAATAACAACGTCCTAAATAATGTAAAGCCAGGATTTTTTTTTTAAAATATAAAATTTAAAATATAAAATTCCATACCTAATATCTGCGTTCTAAAACTAGCTTCTTTTAACCAAATGTTATAATCTATATTTTTTAAAGATAGATTAATATAAAATTTCTTTCATTAATTTATTAATTGTTCAATAAATTCCAAAGTATACAAGCATGCACCATTTTATTTGAAAGCAGCTGATCTTAATTTAAAAAAAAACAAGATTTAACTCGTATATGTACAGTGGATATAAATTATGTAAATAATAAAAAAAATGTAAATAATAAAAAAAAAATGCCAGCATATATTAAAAAGGGTTGTATGTGAAAAAGGCTGGATGGGGGCTTGACAGCAAAATATACTCAGTATCCCCCCTCCAACTCCCAATCATTACTCCCTCCCTCCCTTTGAAAAAAATGCATAACTAATTTTTAAGAAAAGACCAGATGATGTTTTATTAAACAAAACACACAGTGAGAGGCATTACCCTCTTATCTTTGCCTTTGTGCATCTTCAGTGACATTTCTTTGCCTTGTGAAGTAGAAAATGTAGAAAAATCGAGAGAGTCGTCAGAAAACGTCCGATCTGTTCGAACAATGTCTTTGGAATGAGACGTAACCACAACACAACTGTATACCAAGAAACGTGACGTCACAATCAATGACGAAAGCCAATGAAAAGTCACGATAGATTCATCTGCAAGCAGGATTTGGATCTGAACCAATGAAATAAAGATCATACACAACTACCGTGTGTCAGTTTAAACATATACCCCGGTACGGACTTTTTTTTAAAATATCTAGAAAATCAACATTTCTTTTTTTTTTGAACTGCAAATCCATCATGGTTATCTCTCTCTCTCTCTCTTGGATCTACTGTTCTGTAAACAATGAAAAAAAATTACTTGGTTATTTTTTGGTAATTGTAGAAAATTAGCTTGAATTTTCAACACCTTAAACGCAAGTTTTCTTTAGTTGCTTTTGTAGCTAGTCCATAAGCGGAACAAAGATCTCGTTTTAAGTAAAATAGAACTGCTATAATCAAAGATACTGCATTTTTGTTTTTTAACAATATAATTAGAAATTATATTATCATTCGAAGTGGAGTTTAATGTGACATGTGAAAATTCCTACTTAATGTTCTGTAGCAATATCATAATGAAATTCTCCAATGGAATATATATTTCATTTTAATTAGAAAAATAAATGAACAAAAATACAAACTAACAAACAGGCTGGGAAATAAATGAATAAAACAAAGGTCTCGAGAAGAACGCTCCCCCCAAATTATTTCCATTATTTTTTTTAAATTAAATATATTTTTAATTCGGTTCACAAGATAGGGTAAATTTAAGATGCATTATATCATATTCTATTTTATTTTTTTTAGCAGAAAATATGTATTATCCTCTTCCTTTTTCATTTGAGTGGAGTGGCAATCAAAAATTTATTATGTCTAGTACAAATGTACATGTATATGTAACTTTTTTATGGATAAAAAAAAGGGGGGGGCGTCAATTAGATAGGAGCTTGTGCATGTGTGTGCACTTATTTTATAGAGGAAAATTTTCTTAAGGGTCGAAAAAATGCATAAGATACCCATGTAATTCAAAGAAAGTATCAGTAGATTTTACAGTGTTTCATCATGAGAAGCGCACGCTGACAAATCGTATACTGTATAAATTATACAGTCACGTATAGTCATGGTAGTGGCGTTTTTGAAAAGGACAGCCAGAAAAAAATCAAATGTGTGTATTTGTAAATATATGTGTAAATTATAGTTTTTACCTGAAAAAAAAAACTTTGACACGCAAAAAAAGGATGGGGGATTGTTCAAAATTCTATTGTAGCAGATCATGCATTAGGTTAAACAATCAAGTCACTGAAACTTTCCCTATTAGTTTAGGGGTTAAACAGGGAGACAATCTGAGTCCAAATTTATTCAAAATTTTCATCATTAATCTTCCAGAATACTTCAGTTGATGAAGATGACAATATTCAGTTAAATGACAAATTACTTCACTGTCTAATGTACGCAGATGATAGTTTTATTGTCCAAGTCTTCTAAAGGTCTTCAACAGGAACTTAATTGTCTTGAAAAGTTTTGTACTGACTGGTGCCTTGATGTAAATATTTCAAAAACCAAAGTACTAATTTTTAGTAAAGCATGTAGACACCTGAAAGAAAACTTCACATTAAACAAAGAACCTCTTGATTGCACTGCTTCTTATAAATACTTGGGCATTCATTTTACTGCATCTGGGAGTTTTACACTTGCTCAGGATGAACTTTACAAAAAAGCTACAAAGGACTTTTTTAAATTACAAAAAAATTTCCTATCATTGAACCCTGAAATAAACACAGCTTTACACGTATATGATCATACAATAAAACCCATACTACTTTACGGTAGTGAAATTTGGCGGGCACTTTACACCACTACGGCACGATTTAGAAATGGGCCTGTTGCATTGGATGAATTATATGCTAAATCACTTTGTGAGAAATTACATTACAAGTTTTGTAGATTTTTATTAGGCGTAAATAACAAAAGTACAAAATTTGCTGTTCTTTCTGAATAAGTAGACACCCTATGAGTTTCAGTATTGTTCAGCATATTCTGAATTACAGGCATAGGTTAGAGAATTTGGATGACACATATCCTCTATTAAAAGCTGCATACATTGCCTCCATATCCAAGTTCAACAAAAACAAATTATCATGGTTTGGTTCTATTGATATATTCAAACAACTTCTTCCTCAGTTAATGCCTCATCTGAAATCATCTACATCAGCCTTTAAATATCACTGTAAACGCATTCTTAATTCATATTTTCTTGAAAAGTGGTATCAAAAGAAGGAACAATTAAGTACTTGTGGGAAGTTAGACACTTACTGCATAATCAAACAAAACTTTGGGCGAGAACCTTATTAATCTTAAGAAAATTTGAGAAAAGGAAGATTTTAACAAAATTTCGAATCTCTTCGCACAATCTGATGATTGAAAAAGGTAAACATAATGCTATACTCGTACCAAGAGAAGAGAGAATATGCCCCAATTGCAAATTAAAAGAGGTAGAAGATGAAATACATTTTCTTTTGGGTTGTCCATGCCATAGTCTATCAAGAATTAATTTACTCTCCACAATATCTCTGAGATCTCCTCTTTTTAATAGTTTGACTGTCTAAAAATAACCAATTTTTATGGTTAATGAACTGCGAAGATGTTGATGTGCTGTGCAATTTGTGTGAATTTATAAGTCATGTGTAGTTAGACAAATTCACATATTGATCTTGACTTTCATTTACATGTACTTTAATTTAATACTTATACTACAGTATGTTATGTTGTTAATATGCGTGT